TATAACTTTTGAACTAGTAGCCCAATCTTGGAACTGTTTGAAATTATGGAATCTACAGGCCACATTCTATAAGAACATTTTTTTTCCCGGTCCATTTGAGACAATTTTTTTATCTGGCCAAAAAAAAGGCAGTGTATAACCTTCCTTTTTTACAAAAAATCGACTACACCAAAATTTCTCGGGAAAACACTTTTTCTTATTAATTTTGGTGCGTAGAATCCAAAACAATTCGTACTTTTTCGATAAGACTTCTCAATCAAAAGTTATAGACTAGAAACCAATTTCGAAAGAAAATTCAAAGGGCTGTAACTTTTGAACTAGTAGCCCAATCTTGGAACTGTTTGAAATAATGGATTCTACAGGCCACATTCTATAAGAAAATTTTTTTTCCGGGTCGATCTGAGACAATTTTTTTTTCGGGGCTCAAAAAAAGGCAGTGTATAACCTTCCTGTTTTACCAAAAATCGACTGCACCAAAATTTCTCGGATAACCTTCCTTTTTTACCAAAAATCGACTGCACCAAAATTTCTCGGGAAAACACTTTTTCTTATTAATTTTGGTGCGTAGAATCCAAAACAATTCGTACTTTTTCGATTAGACCTCTCAATAAAAAGTTATGGACAAAAAACAAATTTCGAAAAAAAATTCAAAGGGCTGTAACTTTTGATCTAGTAGCCCAATCTTCAAACTGTTTGAAATTATGGATTCTACGGGACAAAATCTATAAGAAAATATTTTTCCTGGTCGATCTCAGACAATTTTTTTTCCGGCCTCAAAAAAAGGTAGTATTTTTAAGTTATTCAAATATTTGAGAACAATTTAGAGATGTTTAGGGAAAGTTTCCATTGCCACAAAATCAAATATAAAAATCCGATACATCTGAATACCGAACTCGATAGTCTACGTAACTTAAAAACAATAGGGACCTTTCTTATATCCTTAAGACCATGTGTACCAATTTTCAAAGCGATCGCACGTTTCTAAACAAGTTATCATGCACACGGACAAACGGATGGTCAAAAATGGATCTGTTCCAAAATCGCTAGGATTAATTTCAGAAAGGTGTACGTATCATGTGCACGACGCTTTAAAAACTGGTACACGTATTCTTAAGGATATAACTGGTATAAGAAAGGTCCTGGTAGGTACCTCCTATATAATAATATAATAATAATAATACGCTTTTACTCCCCTTAAATTTGTATATAACAATAGAAATATAATAAAAGGTAACCCCATACAAAGTATAACTTGATTTTTTAAGTAGTATTAAGACTTTTACCTAGTATACTATTTTAAATTTTTAATGTATTTGAGTGACAACTATTTGAATACTTTTTACTGTATTCGAATACTGTTCAAAGTAAGTTAATGAAATACTTTTCAAAGTATTCGAATACTTTTTATAGTATTCGAATACCTTTGATAGTATTAGAATACTTTCGAAAGTATTCGAATACACTCTAAAGTATTTGAATACTTATTTTTTAAAGTATTTGAATACTTTTCAATGTATCTGTATCTAGTATTCGCTTGTGCTGGACGTAAAAGTATTTAGTATTCAAATACCTTTGATTTGTGTAAAGTATTTACTATTTAGTATTCAAATACTTTTTGAAAGTATTCTGCCCAGCTCTGTTTAATTTTGTTTACGGGATCCAAGCCTGCCTTTAAGTGCACATAAATGTGTACAAGTGGTTCTCAAATTTGAATTCTGCTCACCGTCTGGACCAAAATGTGACTATTACTGTATTCTGGTGCCTTCTCCTTGTGTTAAGGGTATAATAAGTGTAATAATTAGGAATCTCATTGTACATTTTTATTCACTAAAGACATTAACGAAATTAATAGCAATTGACATGTCATTACTATTGTAATACAATTGCACGATAGGTACTACCTATATAAGCGTAATACAAAGGAACGTTTACCTAATACACAACAATAAAAGCAATACTTTTCCTAAATTTGTAAACCTATAATACGTAATTTTCTAGATACCTACTCAAACACACTTCACCCATCCGCATGACAAGAATACTATACGAGAAAGTGTAAAACAATCAAATTTTTTTACCTAATTGATGTTGTTCTGGTTTGAAAACTGTTACGAAAACTACTTACAACTCTTGTACCATTTCTATGGTACGATACCGGTTTCTTTCTACAGCATAAGGCCGAACGAAAACTCTCCCGAAAGTTTTTTGACATAAACCCATACACGATTGGGTTGATGCAACTGAAACAAAGTCGGTTCTATATTCAAAAAAGGCACGTCGCGTTTACCTGTTGAAGTACGCCATTAAATGAAATGTAGTGCCCATATATTTTAAATACCCAGTACGCTGTTTTGGTAAAACATTGTAGGCTGTCAGTACGTTATCGATCAGCAAAGGCCCCCAACATATAGCAAATAGAACAACGACAGCCACAAGCATGTATACGACTTGCTTTACCACACGAGTGTCCTCCTTTTCGGATTTTGTGATACTTTTTGCTTTTGTAGAATTCGATAGTTCGATTGTCTCGGCATATTTATCTCGATCTATTCGGTTCCTTGAAAGCCTGCAACAGTCAATTTCATAATTTATATGTCAAGACTAGCGTCACTTACGCAGTACGACTGGTCATGACGTTCCTCTGCTCCATCACTTTCCAAATTTCCCAACAAATTAGGGTATACGTACAGCTCATAATGCAAGTAGGTCCAATTAAAACCAGCAGTAGCATATAGACCTCATGAAACTTCCACAGCGATTCATTATCCCAATCTCGTATGCACCAATGCGCTTTGAAACGGTCCCCAACCTCCATTTGAACCTAGGAACACCTGGACTAACTAATTATTAATTGTGTTAGTCACGTTACCTGTACACATAAGATGGGAATTGCTAGCAGAATTGCTAAACACCATGTAAATGCGATTATTCTTTTCGCTTGACTGTTCGTGCATACATATTTGGCTCTCATTGGATGCACAATGGCGTAGTACCTGCAAAGATTTTCCAAATTTAATATATGAACAAAAAATAAACGTATACATTTTAATGGCATCAATACCAAAGCATTTGATTGTATTTATTTTAAGTAGCCGTTTATACACTCATAAATTTGTTTTTAGTATCATTCGACGGGCGCCTAATTTGTTTACATTTCATTTTGACTGACATTGATGACATCAAAAGTGGAATGCAAAATAGAACCAAGCGTTATCGTTAGAGGCGTATTATTTCTTAGCAAATTTTGGTTTGGCGCTTTTGAGCAAATCAGTAGGTCATAGATTCATCTATATGCCTCTATATAGTAAGTACAGGTAGGTAGTGCAGTTAAAAAATATGTAAGTTACGGCCTGTTTTTATGAAATTGTGTCTGTATATACGAACTGCTAACACAACATCTATAGAATGGATAATATGCTGATGCTATGATGATATTTCTTACATCACTGCAGTTTATTCTCCATTTTTATATTGTTCTGTTACTGGAATTATTTTGTGTTGAACAATAAATACAATTATTATTATTATGCTGCTTAGAGGTAGCCTAAAAATGTAACTTTGGGGTGGCCGATGATACTCTTTGATATGTTGACAAGTAGTCCTTAATATACTAGGCATTGAAATACCAGATTAAGGTGATTGCGGTTTCGTTCAGCATCAACAAAGAAAATCAAAATGTCATCCACGTATGGAAAACAAAAATCAAAATCATGTAGCACATCGGCAAACCATACCTCAGGCTTATCTGCCCAAAAAGGTGGGGAGCGAAAAGCTTACCAAATCATGTCTTAAAGGTGATAAAGACAATCTTTTGAAAAAAGGGGCTTCCTGCGTACAATGGGTTGGGGTGGGAAGAGGGAGTAATCGTTTAATGGCCTCCTACTTCGCGTGCAAACAAAAAATTGAAGTGTCCATAAATCTACTAACAGATGAAAAATAAACGCTGTATTTATTTGTCGGGGGACAAGGACGCTGAATTGAACTTCTTAGTCATTTTTTGCTGTAAATAGGAATAGTATATTTGATATCTATAATTTATACATTGTTAATTACATTACCACTAATTAATATATAATATTAGAACATTACAGTGCTGACTCGTATTCAGTGTCGTCAGCATCGGATTTGAATGCGAATGATACAGTTGTTTACTTCTGACAGCAAAAATTATTATCAATAATACTCAAAGTCATCTTAAGAAGCAAATTGTAACATACTCCTTTTAAAGTTTTACCTTATCTCATCCCATTAGATAGCACTGCAAAAAATGGGTCTAGGACACTTCGCCGAATGCCCACAACGCCGACACGATTTTTTGAAGGTCCATATCGCCGACTAGGGACACTACGCCGACGGACACTACGCCGATCGTGCCCACATTGCCGAAACGTGTGCAAGGGACACTAAGCCGAACGTGACCACAACGCCGACTGTTCGAAAATCCAGGCCCCTCATACTCTGTCCAGTGTATGAGTTTGCATTTTAAAAAGTTTAAAAAACATGTCCTAAACCTACAAATAACCTAATATCCAAAGCTGCTTTGCTTCACACTCCGTCCAGTTTGATTAAGAATTTTCGTATGAGTCTGTAGTTCGAAAAAAGTTAAAAAAATATTCTGAACCTACAATAACCTAACGTCAAAAGCTACTTGGTGTTGCACACCGTCCAGCTTGATTAAGAAGTGTTGTATGAGTCGACGTTATGGTCACGTTCGGCTTAGTGTCCCTTGTTCACTTGTCGGCGATGTGGGCACGGTCGGCGTAGTGTCCGTCGGCGAAGTGGGCATGGTCGGCGTTGTGTCCCTTGCACACTTGTCGACGATGTGGGCACGGTCGGCGTAGTGTCCCTAGTCGGCGATATGGACCTTCAAAAAATCGTGTCGGCGTTGTGGGCATTCGGCGAAATGTCCCGGCCTCCAAAAAATCTCAAATATTGACACGGGAATTGATTTTTCTGAAAAAAGTTTCTCATTACAACTGTAATCGGGTTTTTCTTTTGAGATCAGGTTTTGGTCATATTGCAACAGGAAGAGACTGACATGGTCGCACTTCGTGTGTTTACATACGAAGTGTGAAATGGTAATGATCAGCGAAACAGGGACGTCACATTGACTAAGTGTTATAAACGCTTAGTAAGGATCATGGTCCATAGCAACAAAACGTACTATCCTGGTTATAAGTCAAAGGTCAAAACGTCATGGTCGATAACTTTCACATCTCTAATTGACAAATTTTGCTGAAAAGGTACTGGTCGTGAGTGAGTGTTTACATTATTTGATCTTCGTGGGTCGTAGGTGAAAATGTTAAGGTCACTGTGATAACTATTCTTCTGTATTCATAAACTTACCTTTCAATACTAATGGCGGTTAGCGTCAGGACTGAACACGATGTTGACAAATTCTGAATGTAGTGGACCGCTTTGCATAAAAATGAACCCATGGTCCACGTGTACGAAAATAATTTCGCAACCTAAAAGAACATCGGTGTTATTAATTAACATAAAGTTCGCAATTGGAAACATTATTCGATATATATCAATCAGTAGGTAAATATTTTGGAATTTCCAGAATTTTTTTTAAATTCCGAATCGTCTGCTGTCGAATGTTCGAGATGTACATTAATTTTGTAACATAAACAAGCGGAAATTTGCACTTAAAATAGTTGTTGGTTGAATGATATCAAAAACTGTAAATCACATGTGGAATAAGCCGTTACATAAAAAATCTGCTACATAACTTTCTGAAATATATTAGGAATTGAGATAGAAGGAAATGGCTATAGGTGCACAGTCGAAACGTTTCTAATACTTTGGAAAGTATTCTGAAAGCTTTCTAAATATAAATCTTTTATTGTGCCCCTCTTCAGATATTGGATGTATTTTTATATGCTGGTCGTCATTTTTTTTAATATGCAGAAGTAATAGACATGGAATTAACAAATCGCTTAGACTGCGCATCCCAAACGATAAGTTCTATTAATAATAAAGTTATCGATCTAAAACGTATTGTTTGCAATTCATCTGCAAGTACTTACAAAAGATGTTTCATGCTATGTTTAAAATAACCTTCACATTGAATTGTTCACAATAATTAATAGTTGTTGATCTGATCTTGTTTAGCACGTGCAGAAAGTATACTACCAGACACCTATTATACGAAGTGGATGAAGAATTGCAATGCCCGAAATTCAGATACTGACCTCGGCCATATGCTTATTTTGAGCTCCATGAGAGTAGCAACTTGCATTCGTTTTGGGGTAGTCTGACTTAAGATCTTGTTTCTATTATTGCCTACCAAATTTATTGCCTAAAAGCTGTCTCATAGAAGAAATCAGCGAAATAATGCAATTTTATTAAACTTGGCATACTTGGTTTTTATCAACGTAAAAAGTAGGTAGGTAACATTAGTTGTGAAATAAATCGTCTGTGGCAATATTAGATTTACTTGAGTTCTTAAGCTAAATATATCCGTATTTGTATAAACTGGGGAATGATTTTGTTGATGTGTGCGGAGATGAAAAACCCAAGACAACCTCATTTTATGAAAAAAGACATTTATTTAAATCATTAAGAGTGGAATATGCCCTAGTGATGTCAGCAGCGAACAGCGTACAATTTGAAAACGAATTGTGGTTTACATTAACAGATGAGCCTTGATATTGAACACACACACATTGTAAGCCAATTTTCAAAGGTAGTAAACGTGTAACAAAATGAGCGTCAGGATTATAATGTCGACTTTCGATATACTAAAGAAGCTTTAATTTTTTTATATGACTACGTCAAGGGAAAAATCTGCCCCAAATTATCAAAGGTTCATTTTAACCAGTGAGCTTTTGATGAGGTACCTGATGTTACCACCAGTGAGCTATGTGGCTAAAATCTCTTGCAGTTGCAACACTTGCATAAAAAATATCGAAGGATTTGGCGCTATCAAGAAGAGGATGTCATTTACAAAGGCGACAGCTTAATGGGGTGAGGGAGGGGGTGCTTAGTCCTCCAAAATGGTGAAATAAAATATATTCTTTTCATTTTTAAAAGTTTAAAAGTTATGTGCAGAACGAATCGGCAGATCTGTATTTTAAATTATGTCAACTCTTAAGCCTTGCAGAACTGACTTTCAAAAAATCCATGAGGACTAAGATCGATCTAGTGAAACGGAATATAAAATCCGAACAGGATAATGAGAAATAAGGAACGTATAACTCGGGAATTTAACATTGGTGATAATGTTTAAGTGAGGTGGAGGTGGAGGTGGAATTCGCCCTGTGTTTGATACCTTATCGCATGAAAAAGGACAACCTTGGATAAACGACTGTCTGGAAAGGGGTCCAAATTTGATAGAGCAAATTCCTTCGCCGTTGAAATTCAGAATAAATCCTATAGGTGTTATTAGTGATATTACGAAATTATTTTTACTTGCAGTCAAGCTACAGAGATTTTCTGAGATTTTTTGGTACAATCCGAATGGTACTCTCAAGATATATCGATAGAGAAGGGTTTTTTCGGCGTTTGTTGCAGTCCTTATCTATTGGGAATGACCATCAAATTCCATTAATTTGAATAAAATGTTCTGTTAACAACCACCGCATAAAATAAGGATACCGTTTTCACTTTGTTGAATAGTTTCTATGTTGATAGCTGCGCTACCAGCGTGATCAATTTACATAAGCTTAACGCTTTCAAGAAGCAACAGAAATTATGGGTCATTTTGAACTTAGAGCATGGGAACACACCCCTGTCCCTGCCTGCAAAGAAGGTTCTTATGAAACATTTGCTTTAGGGCTTAACATAGAAGGACTCGTTAATTTTTTTTATGCCTAGCACCCTCATGGTAACCTTTGGGAACAAATAATCAAATCTTCGTATACTACTCACCCCGCTATTGCTTTCTCTCATAATAGCGTTCAGCCTTCAATGGCTCTCATAATAATTTTTAGCAAAAGACAGACAAATGTATCTTTCAGGATCGTATTGCTAAGGTCAATGGTATTTTCTCGCAAATTATTGTATAAGTGCTAACACTAGACGTTTTGGGGAAAACATGGCGATGGGGGGCCCTCCAGCAAAGGAGGACTCGTTAATTTTTTATCCTTAGCACTCTCATGGTAGCCTTTAGGAAAAGTAGATAATCAAGATCATCTTCTTACGCTGGAAGGGAGAGCGGGGTAATTCCACATCTCCCAGACCTTTCGGTACCGATTTCTCCTCAATACCGTTCCGCCTTCAAGGCTCTCATAATGGTTTTTAGACAATCTCTTTTTTAGCAAAGAAGGACTCGTTAATTCTTTTTATCCCTAGCACTGTCATGGTAGCATTTGGGAAAAGATAGTCAAATCTTCGTAGGCGAATCCCCCCCCCCCCGACCCTGCGGTACTGCTTTCTCCCATAATAGCGTTCAGCCTTCAGGACTCTGTTTATAATACTAAGACAAGTTTCTCTTTCAGGATCGTATTCTTAAGTTCGATGTTTTTATCTAGCAAATTATCGTATAAGTACTAACATTAGACGTTTTTGGGGGCTCGGCCCAGCAATACCCTCAGCAAAGGAAGACTGTATTGTATAATTCAAAACAAAAATAGGTTTTCAATAATTTTTACAAGAGGGTTAATATCAGAGCTGGGCAGTATTCGATTTTGTAAATACTTTTTAGTATTCAAATCCTTTAACGTATTCAAATACTTTGTAATTAAATACTTTTATGGAAGCAGTATTTGTATTTGTAACTCAAATACTTTCACAAATATTTAGTATTCGAATACTTCGCATAGTATTTGAATACCTTCCTTTTTTACCAAAAATCGACTACACCAAAATTTCTCGGGAAAACACTTTTTCTTATTAATTTTGGTGCGTAGAATCCAAATCAATTGGTACTTTTTCGATCAGACTTCCCAATCAAAAGTTATAGACTAGAAACCAATTTCGAAAGAAAATTCAAAGGGCTGTAACTTTTGAACTAGTAGCCCAATCTTGGAACTATTTGAAATTATGGATTCTACAGGCTACGTTCTATAAGAAAAATTCTTTTCCGGGTCGATCTGAGACAATTTTTTTTGAGGGCCTCAAAAAAAGGCAGTGTATAACCTTCCTTTTTTACCAAAAATCGACTGCACCAAAATTTCTCGGAAAAACACTTTTTCTTATTAATTTTGGTGCGTAGAATCCAAAACAATTCGTACTTTTTCGATCGGACTTCTCAATCAAAAGTTATGGACTAGAAACCAATTTCAAAAGAAAATTCAAAGGGCTGTAACTTTTGAACTAGTAGCCCAATCTTGGAACTGTTTGAAATTATGGATTCTACAGGCCACATTCTATAAGAAAAATTTTTTTTCCGGATCGATCTGCGACAATTTTTTTTTCAAAGCTCAAAAAAAGGCAGTGTATAACCTTCCTTTTTTACCAAAAATCGACTACACCAAAATTTCTCGGGAAAACACTTTTTCTAATTAATTTTGGTGCGTAGAATCCAAAACAATTCGTACTTTTTCGATCAGACTTCTCAATCAAAAGTTATAGACTAGAAAGAAACCAATTTCGAAAGAAAATTCAAAGGGCTGTAACTTTTGAACTAGTAGCCCAATCTTGGAACTGTTTGAAATTATGGATTCTACAGGCCACATTCTATAAGAAAATTGTTTTTCCGGGTCGATCTGAGACAATTTTTTTTGAGGGCCTCAAAAAAGGCAGTGTACAACCTTCCTTTTTTACCAAAAATCGACTGCACCAAAATTTCTCGGGAAAACACTTTTTCTTATTAATTTTGGTGCGTAGAATCCAAAACAATTCTTACTTTTTCGATCAGACTTATCAATAAAAAGTTATAGACTAGAAACCAATTTCGAAAGAAAATTCAAAGGGCTGTAACTTTTGAACTAGTAGCCCAATCTTGGAACTGTTTGAAATTATGTATTCTACAGGCCACATTCTATAAGAAAATTTTTTTCCGGGTCGATCTGAGACAATTTTTTTTTCGGGGCTCAAAAAAAGGCAGTTATTTACCTTCCTTTTTTACCAAAAATCGACTGCACCAAAATTTCTCGGGAAAACACTTTTTCTTATTAATTTTGGTGCGTAGAATCCAAAACTATTCGTACTTTTTCGATCAGTCTTCTCAATCAAAAGTTATAGACTAGAAACCAATTTCGAAAGAAAATTCAAAGGGCTGTAACTTTTGAACTAGTAGCCCAATCTGGGAACTGTTTGAAATTATGGATTCTACAGGCCACATTCTATAAGAAAAATTTTTTTCCGGGTCGATCTGAGACAATTTTTTTTGAGGGCCTCAAAAAAAGGCAGTGTATAACCTTCTTTTTTTACCAAAAATCGACTGCACCAAAATTTCTCGGGAAAACACTTTTTCTTATTAATTTTGGTGCGTAGAATCCAAACCAATTCGTACTTTTTCGATCAGACTTCTCAATCAAAGGTTATAGACTAGAAACCAGCTAGAAACCAATTTCGAACAAAATTCAAAGGGCTGTAACTTTTGAACTAGTAGCCCAATCTTGGAACTGTTTGAAATTATGGATTCTACAGGCCACATTCTATAAGAAAAATTTCCGGGTCGATCTGAGACAATTTTTTTTGAACTAGTAGCCCAATCTCTTCTGCAAAGAACCACCATTTACTTCTCAATCTCAAAATTATTTTCAACCAAAGTGTTTTCCTAACTGTGGAACTTCTATGAGACTTTTGAAGAAGCTAATGGTGAGATGGTATTGTTTCGTAGATGTTTACAAAGCTGCATACTATTACTACATCCCCATCCTGTGGGCTTCTGCACAAACAGTACTAGTTAAAATTCTTACGTGATAAGTAAGACTAAGTAATTGAAAATCCTCTTTTACCGAAAAGGAAACAAAAAAATGTGAACGTACCTTTACAGGGATGCAGAAAAGGATGAGCAGCAGATCTGCAGATGCCAAACTTGCAAGTAACATATTCGTAGCACTTTGCATCCTACGGTATATGCATGTAGTAAAAACAATTAAAGTATTACCGATCAGCCCCAATACTAATGTCATCGTATATACTAGTAACGCGGGTAATAATTCCTCCCAATAAAACGTGGAATGTGAATCTTTGAAATCGTATTCATATTCACTCGAATATTCGTAATCCGACATTTCCTCGAGGAATATACGCGCGCTTAATGAATTGTTACGTTTCTTCAATTGATAAATACTTATTAATTTAACGTGATGCGTCTTTTCTTATATTGATCAAGGACGCGATTATGAAAAATCGATCTTCCGCATCCGTAGAATTAATTTATTGCACTTTCTTCGGTGACATTTTACTATACCGTTAAACATTCGCTTCTTACACACCGCGAACCTGAAAATTAAATTCAACAACGTTCAACATCATTTCTAGTTTCAAACTGAACCTCGGCGCCCCGACGCTAAACATATGACGCCTTACTTAAAATATAGCCACTTAAATATAAGTGAAATTATGTTGTGGTGATCGGAAGGGCTTTTAAGTTAACATATGATAAACGTTACTGATAGTACAGATAAGCTTTTTGAGTGCAGTTTACAACCATCGACATTAATTTACTAAAAGAACAGAAATTTAATTAAGTACTTCCATTATAAAGACTTCTTGTTTCAGTACACCAGAGTGTCTAATTAGTATATTTGAAAAAACTGTACTTGGGTGGACCAAATTGGAAGTTTTCAGTAATCGAACAGGCTTCGAGTGGTTTACGGTTATCTGCGTTTTGTTTTCCCTTTTATCATTTACTTAGACCCTCTGCAACTCCAGCCCGATTAAGTGACTGGTTAATGAACTGAAAATTTATTCTTCAAAAATAATCTGAACTGCAATTGTTTTTAATATTAATTTTCTCAGAATGTTGAATGGCAAATCAAAATTCTGAGCTTCCAACTCCTTACTCTGGTGGGGCCTCTTTAATCGTGTCTGGTGCTAGGACCGACGGACCAAAAAAAAGGGGAATCGAGTAGTGTGGGTTGTTTAGGTTTCATTATTATGTATCCCAGGCAGGTAACTGCTAGACTCCACAAAGTTTAGTAGCTGTGCTACCTAATTCTAGTAAATGTGGTTGAACAGATGCGATATTATTCAAATGCTTCATGGAGTAGAGTATTACGAAAAAGTGACATCCAGAAATTAAAAAATTCAAAGCCGCAGAATGGCTCAGGCAATTACAACGCGGCGCGGGGTCTTCACTACTGATATGTTACCGTTACGTTATTTGCTGCGCCTTTCTAATTATAACTTCTAGCCAGCTTCAGAAGAAAAACGTTTGAGCAAATTTGAAATGGCCAAAGAGGAACACTACCGCAATTACCAAGAGGAGTATTAATGTATCATATTCCCTGTGAACGTACTGTCGAAAGGAGAAAATAGAAAATTGCTTAATAAATGTATTACAAGAAGTCTTCACAAATTGTGTTAATAAAAATGGGTAGATACAGTACATCCTACTCTATATAATTAATTCCATGTTAGAAGATTTATGAAACAATTTTTTTAAGGAAGAAGAGGATCTGCTTCGTACAGCACAACATCCGAGTCATCTACAATTAAAAGTTATATTGACAAACAAAAACCCTCTTAAGTACCCACCTGATTGAACCATTGGAACATATTGGCAGCATGTCTTCTGTGTATGGCCATATCGTGTGGTGATTCTGTCATTTTTGTTTTTGCGCAAACTTTTTATAAAACTGAAGGCGGAATGGGTCACGTAATAGACCCCAACAATTGAAGCAAAGAACAGCAAAACAACTACCACCACCAATATAATGTTGTTGGTTTTTATTTCTGTTAGCGGATTGCCTGCAAATCCCTAAATTAGAAAATAAAGGTGAAGATAATGCGCTTACTTGTAAGCTTCCGGGAGGCCGTTGTAATGTCACCCAAAACAATGGAGGTCAAATTTAAAAGAATAACCATTACGGCAAATGTGACTGACATTTTTTCGATGAAAGAGAAGTTCAGGTACGTGGGAGCGAGTGCTTCTTACAGAACTACTACTGAAACGTACTGAAAGGTTTTTTACTATCTTTGTTTAAGTTACCTGTAATAAACTTTGACGTTCACGTGTTAATTGTGCTGATTGGTGTAGAATTGTTTTCACTAGGTTGGTTCGAAGGAGAGAGGGGAGACGTAGAGCACGCTTTCCTCCCTGTAGGGTGAAAAAATTGAATTGAACGAACTTGTATTTTGAAGATTTGATACGCGGTATCCACTAGCATCCACACGTGAGATCTTGGATAAATCTTCAAATTCTGAAAGTGCCCTTGTTACACCTATAAACAGTGTAGCAAAAAAAATTGCCTAATAAGCAAAGTAATTAGGCAAAATTGTTTTCTGAAAAAATTGTGGTATCATAATTTACGTTGAAGTATTAGTAATAACGATCGAACGCACGTTGTGCATCGAATTACGCATACCTACCTACCTGATTAGCTAGAAATATTTGTATATTATATTGAACAATAACACAAAATATCAGTCTGTTGTTTACAATTAGATCTACATACTTTTGTTCATGCGTAGCTATGATACAGGAAAATGTTAAATAGGCCCAGAAATACCTACTTTTAATGTCATGTTGGTTAACACAAATCAAGATAAAGGCATAGATTTTTATAACTTCTTTCAAGAGATTGCTTTGAAAGTCCTTAAAAGGTTTAAAATTCCAGATCCTTTGGGAAGGAAATCTATTCCCTCTTTAATTTGCCTAATTCCTTTTGAAAATGCTTCAAGCGCTCACAAAAGGGCTTATCTAAATCTTTTTCTTGTATTATCGAAATACAGGGTGTCCAACGACGAGCTGAGTGCATTATTTTTGGGGAAACTAGTGCGAAACAATTGCTATAACTACATTTGATCAGTTTTTGAACGTTTCGGTTTGCCTTTTATAAAATGTATCTAACAATAATGTTCCTTCCTGTTTTAAACTTACGTAATTTTCTAGAAAATTAACGCCTACGTATATAGCAATTCTCGATTGAGGGGTTGTAATTTTTGTTGTACATCAAACATTATGAATTTTTTGACAGATTATGTTTAAGTAATCTACAACAACCCTTAAAGAGCCCTCTAGCAATAAATTTCCTTTTCGTTTGAAACTTACATAATTTTCTAGAAAATTAAAGCCTACGTATATAGTAATTCTCGATTGCGGGGGTTGTAATTTTTGTTGTACGTCAAATATTTTGAATTTTTTGATAGATATGTTTAAGTAACCTACAACCAATCCTGAAACTGCCCTCTAACAAGAAATTTCCTTCTCGTTTGGAACTTAGTATTTTTCTAGAAAATTAATGCCTACGTATACCGGGTGGTGCCTAACGCGACGCAGCATAGAGATTTCAATGGTAATTCCTTTATAGTAAATTACTAGCTCCCCTAATTATTTTAGAGTAAAAGTCTAAATAAGTTTTTTTTAGAGACAAAAATACTGCATCTGTTCACACTTTTAGTTATAATTTTCCATTTTTCAAAACCGTAGAAATCGACAAAATAAAAAAGTTCATTTTACAATAAATCAAATATGCCTTGGAATTACCTAAAAAAACAGAGATCACGTTTCATTATTTGCCTTTGACGTTTATTAAATTTATACTTGTTTATAAATTAGTTAAAGAACTGCAAGTGCAATAACGTTCAAAATGTCCGTCAAAACCATCAGGAAAACGACAATACATTCAACATTTTGGCTGCAGTAGCGGAAAATCCGAATATAACTTTAGGAACAAATCTGCTTCAAATCAGTTTTTTTCTTCGATTATGTAGGTACTCTGATTCTCTCTGATAAACAAATAGTGTCTGATGCAGATGCAGTATACATTCTCTAAAAAAACATTACCCAATTGCCGCTCTTTCTTGCATCGGATAGTTGTAACAGAATTAAATATGAAAATCGTTCGACGTCAAACAACGATAACTTAAATGCGATGCGCTTGTAGTTTGTTAAAAGATTCCAAAGCATCACTGATTTATAAAAATGTAATTTTTTATTTTGTCGATTTCTACGGTTTTGAAAAATGGAAAATTATAACTAAAAGTATGAACAGGTGCAGTATTTTTTTCTCTAAAAAAACTTATTTAGACTTTTGCTCTAAAATAATTAGGGGAGCTAGTCATTGACTATAAAGAAATTACCATTGAAATCCCTATGCTGCGTTGCGCTAGGCACCACCCTGTATAGCAATCCTCGATTGCGGGGGTTGTAATTTTTGTTGTACATCAAATATTTTGAATTTTTTGACATATTATGTTTAAGTACTCTACAAACAACCCTTAAAGAGCCCACTAGCATAAATTTCCTTCTCGTTTGGAACTTAGTAATTTTCTAGAAAATTAACGCCTACGTATGAAGCAATCAATTCTCGATAGCAGGGGTTGTAATTTTTGTTGTACATCAAATATTTTGAATTTTTTGATAGATTATGTTTAAGTAACCTACAACCAACCCTAAAACTGCCCTCTAACAAGAAATTTCCTTCTCGTTTGGAACTTAGTAATTTTCTAGAAAATTAACACCTATGTCTATATAGCAATCCTCGATTGCGGGGGTTGTAGTTTTTGTTGTATATCAAATATTTTAAATTTTTTGGCAGATTATATTTAAATAGTCTACAACCAACCCTGAAACTGCCCTCTAACAATAAAGTTCCTTCTCGTTTTATACTTACGTAATTTTCTAGAAAATTAACGCCTAATACGTATATAGCAATTCTCGATTGCGGGGGTTGTAATTTTTGTTGTACATCAAATATTTTGAATTTTTTGATAGATTATGTTTAAGTAATCTACAACCAACCCTGAAACTGCCCTCTAACAAGAAATTTCCTTCTCGTTTGGAACTTACGTAATTTTCTACAAAATTAACCCCAACGTGTATAGCGATCCTCGATTGCGGGGGTTGTAGTTTTTGTTGTACATCAAATATTTTAAATTTTTTGGCAGATTATATTTAAATAGTCTACAACCAACCCTGAAACTGCCCTCTAACAATAAAGTTCCTTCTCGTTTTAAACTTACGTAATTTTCTAGAAAATTAGCGCCTAATACGTATATAGTAATTCTCGATTGCGGGGGTTGTAATTTTTGTTGTACACGAAATATTTTGAATTTTTTGATAGATTATGTTTAAGTAATCTACAACCAACCCTGAAACTGCCCTCTAACAAGAAATTTCCTTCTCGTTTGAAACTTACGTAATTTGCTACAAAATTAACCCCAACGTGTATAGTGATCCTCGATTGCGGGGGTTATAATTTTTGTTGTACATCAAATATTTTGAATTTTTTGATAGATTATGTTTAAGTAATCTACAACCAACCCTAAAACTGTCCTCTAACAAGAAATTTCCTTCTCGTTTGGAACTTAGTAATTTTCTAGAAAATTAACACCTATCCGTATATAGCAATCCTCGATTGCGGGGGTTGTAGTTTTTGTTGTACATCAAATATTTTAAATTTTTTGGCAGATTATATTTAAATAGTCTACAACCAACCCTGAAGCTGCCCTCTAACAATAAAGTTCCTTCTCGTTTTAAACTTACGTAATTTTCTAGAAAATTAACGCCTACGTATATAGCATTTCTCGATTGCGGGGGTTGTAATTTTTGTTGTACATCAAATATTTTGAATTTTTTGACAGATTATGTTTAAGTAATCTACAACCAACCCTGAAACTGCCCTCTAACCAGAAATTTCCTTCTCGTTTGGAATTTACGTAATTTTCTAGAAAATTAACACCTATATTATACAAACAATCAAAAGTTAGTGTTGTAGTAGTGTTGACAGTCATTTAATACGACCACGTGTTCTTCTAGTTCATACATCATTGCAATGCAGTTACGTGTTACTCAAGCAACTTTGGAAACGCTGGATGCTATTGTTTGTGTAGTTCGCCCTGTTCAACATATTATTGGGTGGTTAAGATGGGGGAAGTCCTAATCCAGTAGTATAAATTTATCAAAGAATGGTCTTTAAATTTGGCTTACCACCTTTATGCCTACTGGACTAGGACTTCCTCCATCTTAACCACCCAATAATAGTTACCAGTACCTAGTGCTGAAAGGGATACTGTTCAACATATTCTCTTTACCTATGACCTTTTATTGTTTTGGTTAAATCACGAACCTTTAAAACAGATAAAAATGAGATCTAAGATTAGTTTTAAAAACTGAAAATGTGTACCGATACACCGTATACTTTTGTGTTTTTTGGTAACATTTGCATTTCGCGAAGATTAAGTGCAACAATGAAACAAACATGTTATACTTAGAGCGATTGACCTTTTCAAATGTAGGTTACAATTAAAGATTTGCAACACTTATCTCCACATTATCAAATGTGCCTTTTTTTGTGTTTTGAACCTGTCGCGTTAGGTATTTTTTATTTACGTACGACACAAGTAAAACAGCTCTCCTAAAACTCTCAAAAAAGCAAATGTTTTTTAATTTGTGGAAATGGCTAATTTGCTTGACCTAAAACGGTCAATTTTTTTTTGAAACCCATTGGCATCCAGGAAACCCTATCGCACCAACTTTGTATGGTCGATTAAAAATAAGGGAAACAAAAATCGCACGTGGTATTGCTCTTATCTAAGGAGAACGCTGACGCGCGAAATACGAAAGTTCATAGATGAAAATGAATATTAAACGTGCTGACCCCCAATATGCTGAATCGTCTAGAATATACTATATAAACTGAATTTGAAAAGGATTCGTCACTTGTGTTTCGAGCCACATTGGCATAATGGGTTGGAAACTAGTGCTTTGCTTATTTGGTGAGTACAACATTCTTACACTTAAAATTGAAAAATTTCAATATAATTGAACAAAATCGATCGATTATATTTTATGCGTTATTACATGGAGATAAAACAAAAACTGATTGGACGAAATTACTCCAAAATTGAAACACCAGGTGTCACAATCAATTTTTTCAGTTGGTCTAGCCACATCGGCCTCGATCAGTGGAAATAGCGCGTGGAGACCAGGATACGAATATGTTTACAAAGTGCATGGCCAATCTTTAAGCAACTATGATGACGACTATTATAAGGGAATCGTAATCAAGGCGGATCTGATTGTACAACCACAGTCGGCGGAAGTACTCATCGGTAAGATCTCGAATCCCAAATACGCTCGATATGAAGGGGCAGACGAACCCACGATTCGAGATGTGGATGCGAATTCTCAAGACCTACAGTTTAAACCTTTGGACCTTGGTGACAAACCCTTCCGTATTAGGGTAAAGCAAGGAGTTATTAGAAACATCGAGATGGCTAGCGAGTTGGAGCATTGGAAGGTTAACATGATTAAAGGTATCGTAAGTCAAACCCAACTTGACATCCAAGGCGTAAACTTAATGAAGGATCGCATTAACCAACTTCCCGAAAATGATTCGTACTCTGGAGTCTACAAGACTATGGAAGACTGGGTTACCGGTAAATTCGCAACTTTATATGAAATGAACGAAGTTCCAAGCACTCAAATACAGTACAAACCATGGCGCGTACCATTCCCACAACTACAAGGCGAGGGATCAATAATGGAAGTTGTCAAGACAATCGATTATAGCAAAAGCAAAGAACGTGTCATGTACAGTTACGGATTAGCCACCGATGAAGACACCGACTTGCATGATATTTGGATGGGCAATTTCCTTTCGAGGGTAACTTCAACCCAAGCTTTTATAAGTGGAAGACCAGATCAATACACAATTCAATCTGCTATTGCGTTCGATTCTATCGCAGCGGCGCCTTTACACAACAACAGGAAGAAATTCTCCGTAGAAAGTGGTTTCAATATTACTTTAACCAAATATGAATCCACCACTTCTCAACTCCAATTACCATCATCTCTAAAATCACAGGGCAGCCTCACTTACAGCTACAACGAGGACGCTGGAAAGGAAAAGAATAATTGTGATGAAAGTAGCAGTTCCTCATCATCCTCAAGTTCGTCCCAAGATTCAGACTGTCCCACAAAGAATCAACAAGGTCAAAAACACCATAAGAACAAATCTGCATCTTCTTCCTCTTCGTCATCTTCTTCTTCGTCTTCATTTAGTTCGGATTTCAGTTCTATGTCTGATGAATCAGATTGGAAAGATGCTCAACCTAAGTTAACGGAGGCCCCCCAATCTGGTTTATTGCCATTAACCATGGGTTACATGGGTCAGCTGGTGCACGCCCATAGCAAGATGAATCCTGTTGAAGTTGTACAAACACTTGCCAATGAGATAGCACAAGGAATTATGAATCCAGACTCTAAATTCCAACCACTAACTTTGAGCAGATTTGTCATGCTGACAACCCTCATTCGAACAATGGACGAAACGCAACTACAGCAGGTTACCAGCGCACTGTACAGCAATGAACAAGGTACACTGAAAAGCTACGCTTGGCAAGCACTTCGTGATGCATTAGCAGAAGGCGGTACTGGTCCATGCTTGTTGGTACTCAGTGGTTTAATGGGCCAAAACAAGATTTCCGCGGGAACGGCAGCTGCTGTCTTTGACCAAATAACTCGCTCAGCTCGTCAACCTACCGAAGAGTACATGCGCACTCTCTTCACATTTAGCAAGAATCCCAAAATTGAAGAAGACCCAGAATTGTTCACTATTATTCCAATCGCATTTGCCAGTTTTGTTCGAAAAGTTTACGTAAACAAGGTCGCTAGCCACGATCAATATCCTGTTCACAGTTATGGACGATTCTATACCGAGCGGGGAATGGAATTCGTGGTCAAGGAATACATACCTTACCTACAGGGGCAATTAGAACGAGCAATTTTAGCAAACGATTCCCCTAAAGTGCAAATTTACATTTCTGCCTTGGGTGCAGTCGGTCATCGATACATATTGAAGGTATTCAAGCCATACTTTAACGGTGAGAAATATGCCACCCCATTCCAACGTTTGAAAATGGTGTATGCACTCCACCCTCTTGCCAAATACAATCGGAAATATGTTCAATCGGTTCTCTACAAGATCTATCAAAATTTCGCGGAGGATGAGGATGTCCGCGTTGCTAGCGTATACATGTTAATGAAGACTGCTCCTCCTCCCTATATGTTAAAAAAGATGGCCGCCTATATTAACATCGATCAAAGCCAGCAGGTTTCCTCTGCTGTGGAATCTATCATCAGAGCACTATCTAAAATGGAAGGACCTGAATATAATGAAATGTAAGTAACCTACACTGTAAGCTAATCATTTAATTATATGTTATAGACGAGAAAGCGCAATAGCAGCCTTATATTTGCTGAACGACAAGAGTTACAGCACAGAATATTCAAGGAAATACGTGGAAAACAACTACTTCCCTGAATCCAACTCTGAATTTCTGCAGGCCCTTCAAACCATCGTCGGTGAAGATAGTTCAGTGCCGAAGGTTATGAAATACATCTTACGTACTAATATCAATGGAGTTAAAACTGACGCGTTGAGAATTGAATTCATGGTAAACAGCATTGGCCAACTTACCGACGCATTATTCCGTCAATTCGCAACATATCAACATCAACAAAGGCAACAAAATCAACACGCAAGCAAAGGTAATGAAAATCCATGGAGTCCAGAAAATATCGCTCGAAAACTCAAAATGCATCGCGAGAAACCTAATTACTTGGAGGGCAGCTTTAGTTTTGAAATGGCAGGACTACAAAAGCGTTATTTATTCAATGATGAAAGCATTGCGACGCTTACTAAAGGTATATTATCTTCTTAAAAGACACACTTGCACCGTAATAACGTTACTTTTCAGTTATTGGACATATCGAGCAAGAACTTCAAGGGAAAAAAACTATGCAATTCACCAAGTTTATTAACAACAACGATATGGCTGTTAGTACACCTACAATCATGGGAATACCATGCATCTACACCTTTGATCAACCTACCTTGATACATCTTGAAGGTCACATAACTGCGAATGCCGAACCGAAAGTTAGTACTGGCGATGCTTTCCATCTTCCAAAGAATATGAAAGCCGCAGGTCAAATCAAGGCTAATATTTCCAAAAAGAGGCAAGGGCAGCTTGGATTTGTCGTTCCATTTACTGGTGAACATTTCTTGGTGGGATACGAAAAGAATATGCAGTTACAGATTCCTCTCAGCGTTCAATACGTTGGAGACATTGCCAAGGGGCAATACACTATTCAATTGAGTGTGTCCGAACCACAGCAAACCTTTAACCTCTTCTCTTTCAATACTTTGCCTTATATCGCAGCTCGTAATGTCGTAAATTTCACACCTGTTCTTGAAGATTCTAACACTAAAATAATTAAAGAAAACACACCAAAGACATCCGTTGATCAAGTGTTTGGTGAAGAAACGGGCATTGCTATGCGAGTACAACTACATTCTGAAGAAAAATTAAATTTGCCTTGGTTATTTGAAAAAGTACAAGCGTTTGAAGGAAACAGAATTCCTCTGTTAATGGCAGCTTGGTACGATGAATCAGTTGCTTACTGTCACTTAAACGTACAGTACGATGGTAAACGGTCATCCAACAGTCGTATTCAGGTGCACATCGGCCATCAAGAAAGCGAGGGACAAGAGAACTGCCGTAATCATGGGGACGTTGACATTGGTCAATTATACAAAACACCAAGCGACCGACAAGCTCGTCAAAAGCAATTCTACCAAAAGGCTTGCAGTAATATTGCCAACTCAGAAGTCCAGGTTCTTGATGTCGAAGTTCAGTTCAGTGGTAAACAGGAAATAACATACTCAGCAACTGCAGCGGTTGCCACAAGCTACGTCGATCCAAAGTCTAACTTCTTATTCTACGCCACAAGACAACCCAGCAATTCCAGAATGGTAGAACCGAGCAAGGTTGCCTTGTTGGTTAAGACACATGTACCGAAGACTAACGGTTTGGATCCTATCTTCGCTCTAAAGAATAGTGTATTAGGAAGCATTCAAGGACAACTAGCATTTGGAAAAGATGAACATTCTTGCAGTAAAATTAATATGCACGCTACTTTAGACAAGACAAACGAATTCAGCGAATATTTGGCCAAGCATCCCTTAGCTCATCACTGCGCACAAGAAATGAAGGAAGGAAATTATCTCCTTGAGGCCTGCACAGCTTTGCTTTCTAAAGCAAATCTAGTGGATCATGTTGCCATTAAACTACAATATGAGAATTTAGGAATGCAAGCTTTGAATAGTACTAAATGGTTAACAAATGTCTTCCGCCACCACTTCTTCGAAAACTACCAAGAAAACTCCGTCAACTCCACCGGTAACAACGAAAATCAAATAAACATTGATTTCGACTTCCACGATGACTTTGAGCAAATTGATCTTCAAATCCAAACCCGACACAAAAGCATGCTGTTTGAAGATGTCGACACCGACGAACTAGTAGGACTTGTTAACAGCATTCACCCAGTTTTATCCGCTCAAGATCGCATACTACGCCCTCTGTTTGAACAGAATTGGCCTTTCCGTAAGTATACTCATGTAATTGCCTTTGACGTTTCTTGCATTAATATTTTACAGCATACTGTAGCATTGATAAAACATATGCGAATACTTTCGACAACTACACCTATCCCATAAATCCCAACGCTCTGAACGATTGGACTGTAGCACTTTTATACTCGCCAAGTTCCGCTAATTATCCTTATTACCAAAATGAACAAAATAATCAAGGACAAGGTTTACCACCAAGGTATCGCGATGACTACCAACAGCACCCAAGACAACGTGGACACCATTATCCACAACACGACCAACAAAGTGAATACCAACGGGGACATCAACTACCAAGCTATCAACAACACGGTAGCCAACACCAAGATTCTCAACACCAGCGTCCAAGATATCAAAATGTCCAAGGGCAACAAAATCCTTTACAACACGGGCAACAGCACCAAAAGTATGGACACTTCCAAGGTACATCTGAACATTCGTCCCACTTCAAACAGCAACAAGTAGAGCACAATCAACATCAACAGTCTGAACAATACGCCGTTTTGGTTCGCAATAAACCAAACTCAAACGGCCAGAAGGAAGTCAAGATTATGATACGTTCTCCTGAAACTAGTCACCAACTTATGGAAATCGACATGGTACCTTCTGGAAGACAAGACTCGCGCGCCGAGGTTTACGTAAATCAAAAGAAACAACAGATCCAACAAGATCGTAGCTCAGATTACGGCGGTGCCATTCAAATCTACTTGGTACCTAACGGGGAGGTGTCGCTCACAGTGCTAGACGTTTTCCAAATGTTATACGATGGCCACAGACTTAGATTTTCCATCTTGGACGAAGAGAAGTTCCAAAATGACGTTCGAGGTTTGTGCGGTACTTTTACTGGTAACCCATGGACCGATTTTGCGTGCCCCGAAAATTGCCTCGTCAAAAGTTCAGAAGATTTCGTTGGAGCGTACCAACCCAATCGCCAGAATAGACCTCAAGGTAAAGGCCACGAATGTTACTTTAGAGAAGTCATCTACGGCGATGTCGTTTCCGAGCAAGACGTTGGAAAGAAACCTCACAAGAAAGATGAAGAACAAAAGGGTAGTTGTACAAAACATCAAACCCGTTACATAACGGACCAAAACGAGGCCTGCTTTACAACCAGGCCATTGCCAATTTGCAAACCACAATGCAAGCCTAAGCAGCGTATTAACAAGAATGTGGAGGTATATTGCGTTCCTCATAATCAGATGAGTAGATTGTGGATTAAGGAAATCGACAAGGGCTCAAATCCCAACTTCAGCATTAAGACTCCTACAAGGCGAGTACCAATGGATGTCGACCAAAGCTGTGCTATGCACTGATTATTATGCTATACCTTTTTGTAGTAGATTAGTGACGAACATTTGAAAAATGTAAAAAAAATGCAATAAACTATTATTAGTATTACTGCTTTTAGACTTTTCTGTTATTAAATTTGCAGCCCACCATCTTTATCTGCAAATATCCCATTAGTCTGAATGGGAAAGCATTGCGAATACAGTAAAGTCTCATTTTTTTGTGTTCAAGGGATCAGAGAGCAAGCCAGGGGAAGCAAACTACCGAGACCATCCCGCTCTAGAAAAGAGCCATTTTTAATGTTTGCTATGAGAAGTTTCTTTCTAGTGCCTAGACTACATCAGGGGGTTTAACATGGATACACAATACGTAGCCAGAAAAGGATCTAATACACATGTTTGGTAAGGTGTCCAGAGAATATAATAATCGGGGTTGTGCAGTGTTCATGTTACTAGAAGATGAATGGAAAGTGGAAAGCGAATGATTTTCCCCAATTTTAAGACTTCTACGACTCCTAGCCTGTAAACTGAAAAGTGTGTGCAATACTTTATTAAATCTTTGGAGCCTTTTGGTTTCTTTTAGGACCTATACTGTAACCATGTTACTTTTTTATGGAGTCGTATGACCTAAGTTGCAGAAAAATGGACCGTGTTTTTGACAGATTTTTTAAACAATCTTATTTCTTGAAAGTTACTCGACGGGAAATCTCGTTCTTGCTTCATTCTACATTGTCTTATATTGTTCTTTGCAGGTGAACTTGATGAAAGAACAAAATAAAGCCAGAAATCGCGACAACATAAGAAATTTGTGAAACTTGAGCTTTGGTAAAGGCAGAGAAAGAGATTTCTAAGAATTTTGGACATTTATAAATAAGATGGGATTCTGTGCATGAATTATACTAGAGTTATTTTGGTGTTTTTAATCAATGGATCCAAACAAATGAACTCGGAGTTCTATAGGTAAGTGAGGGCGAGGGTGAGGGTTGGCAGTTCCCCAGCGAATTAACATTCTTTCCATTTAATCAGAGTGTCGTTATCTAACTTATTTGTTAAAATATGAATGATTATGACTACCATGTAGCGATATCTATATTTAAAATTTGAGGAGCCCAATTTTTATTTGTGGTATTAATCAACTTCTCAGCGACTTAGCGTTATCTTTGCGAGTTGGTGGTAGTTTTAAAAATGCTCCCAAATGATTAAAAATAAGACTCCCACCACCGTGCCAGATAAAAGTGGTAGTTGGGCGTTGGTAAATGGTATACTGGGCTGGCCACGTTAACAGAGCTACCTCGTTGACATCAAATGATACATTCTATCAGAATCGTTTAATTAAATATTATCAGCGAATAGTGTTTATAAACATAATTACATATTTTATTATGATATTTGTGATAATCATCTATTACACATTTAATATAGGTATATACATTCACAACAGATAAATTTACTTTTTCTTATTTTATATAGTTTTTTTTCTTTGTATTGTTCAATTTTTTCAAAAACAGATTGTAAACATCTTTGTTTTATTGCGGCTGTATAAGTACACATTTAACATCCTAAGTAATATATAAATAATAACACTTATTTTTAAAATAAATAAATCAACAATTTATGAAACTAAATGTAGGTAATTGAATGAATGAATAAGAATGAAATCGAGTCAACTTAATTATTTTAAAACAAAATTTTACGTAGGTACAGAAAAGATAAAATCGTGGTTGTAAGTACATGTAACTTCTTAATAGCAAGGCGTAAGTATGGCAAAAAATGAGATGAAAATAACGAATGAGTAAAATGGGCACACATATACACACACATGTACAATTCTCAACTGAAATAAAATACTTAAAGCTTTTAAATTAAGTCTAAGGAGTTCAGTACCGTTTGGTAAGTGTGAAATAGTTCCAATACTGTTAAGCACGTCATGGCACAATTAATTTACATACAGCCACACGTCTCTACAATCATATTTGATAAAACTTTTGACGTAAGGGTTTTGTTGTTTCCCATGTAAAACAATTGAAGTGGCTGGAACTTTGTTGCTGCACAGCACGGCGTTAGCTCCAATTTTCTGACGTTGTTCCTATTAGGCCCATGCAGCACCTTCTGAAATATGATCAATGTTTCTGTATCTTCATACGCATGCTAATGTAGTACGTACCTGCATTATGGAACTGTGTTGTGTTGCACTTAAAGTAACAGAGGCGACAGTGTTACAAGAGCCTCTGCAAAAATACGCGTTGTATCCAGCTGGCTGTATTATCCAATCATCCCAGCCTATATCAGCAAACGATACATATAAACTTTCTCTGCAGCACTCGTTCATATTTGGGGAACAGTTGGTGTTACGTTTCTGTCTTCTGTACGCCAACTGCTTTTGTTGGCTATGCGTATAGATCACCAAAAATGGTTTGTGCTGATTTTTAAACGAAACCGGGGAATTCTTCAACTCCTTCGCGCAAGTCTTGCACGCCACGTTTATAGCGTGGATTGGAGAATCTTGGTAATCCAGCCAGTTGCGAATAACTTGAGCGACATCTATTTTTATCCAACCCTCTAAAAATCAACGTTATACCGCTACACAGGGAAGACCACGTTAATCATACCTGTTAAATTCGTATGGTGGATGGCGATAGGAGTTGTTTTTTGAAAACTTTTCTTCGTATCCCAGTGGGCTACTTCGGTAACAACAAAGGTTTGTCCGTTACCATCCAATTCGTCCGGTTCTTTGTAGATCCACAGTTCGGCGGTGCTCAGGTCAATCGCGTGGATATCAGACGGTAATTGGAAAGGAAGACAGACAGACGGGTGTCTCACTTTCTTCATGCAGCGGGCTTGCTCTGAAAATGAATTTATTATTTCTGCTACCATTTTGAGTAATTTTACCTTCGTAAGGAAAAACAATTGCTTGTGTAGTTCTTCCGTAATAATCATCGAATGGGCTTGGAGTAGATTGGTCGTAGCCTCGTGGAACTAAATTTTCATCCTCCGTAACTGGTTTTGGTAAATTTGCAATTGACACATTTGGTTTCGTTTTTAATCTTAATTTCTTGAGTATCTGGTTTTTAATGTACTCTATTCTTAAGGCTGTCAACTCCTCTTCGGTAACCGTATATCTTTGCTGGACATGATCTTGATCTACCTCAAAGTATTTCTGTGAACAACCCAAGCATAACTCGGACGCTGAATCTGCATTTATAGTGGAGGCCGGAGGTCGGGCATCAAATGTTGCTCCAAAAAGCGAACGTGTGCGCGAATTGCCGCTACAGATCCAGGTTTGCGACGAAAGAGCAAGCACAAAGCCGACAACGTACACCAAATGACACATATTTTGTTGATTTTATGTCCAATTGTTGTGACAACACTTATTGATTGTCGTTGTGAACTGCACTCTTAAAATGCTGATCGTTCAAATTCCCCACTCTCAGCATTTCTTTACTGGATGATACTCCTGGACCTTGAACCTGTTGTATTATCAAAATTATAGTACGCATAGAATATCCTTAAATGATAAATAATGAAGTTTGGATTAAGTGACATTATGTGTGTTAAAATAACCACGTGTATCTGCCGGTAGTGGAAATACGATACCTTTATCAATATTTTTCAATAAAAAATTACCAATTTTTCTCACGATCTTGATGCATGATGATAGGCGCCTACAATGCCAAAATTAATGATCTACCCAGTATGTTCCCTAATGCACGTTCTTCGGTAAAGGGATTATCATTCTTTTGACCTGAGCAACAACAGTGAGGACTACAAAGATGTTCGCAGAGGAGAAATTTGTGTTCCACCATCATTTTTTCAAGAATTTCATAGTTCATGAGCAAAAACACCTCAAGTACTCTCTTAACATAAAGGCTTAACTACGTAGTATTAGTCATCGGTTATTTTTAGCGTAAGATAACCTATGCCGTTTGAGACTTGGTCTCTCAGGGTCACTAACGATTTTGTTCTTTGAATCGTACTTTTTTAGGTCAGTTAATTAGTATTTACGAAGCTAAATTATGTGGAACGTCGTTGGACGATTCAAACAATTTTTTGCACCTTTCGTTTTTGGTCTCAATTTGCAAAGAACAGACCAGCAACTGACCTCCCGCAAAGCTCCAGTGCGAAATACGTTACATTTTAATGCATTTAATTTTATCATTGCTCAAATTAATCTCGGATTTTAAACTACAAAAGAAACGAACGGTGGAAAGATCACAATGTTCTTCTACCAGTTCTTCAATATATCACTTATCTATGGCTACTCAATATCATATACCTTTGGTTGTCGTACAATCGGAAACGAAATAGTACTATCAGCACTATCAAAATTGTCTAAAATTTTCAGAATTTTCTCCAAATTGAGAGTGTAGTTTTTTTATTTGACTGAAATTCATCTGAAAGGGCCAGATATAGGTATGGATTCGTGAAGATTTCCCACAAAGAATACGCGAAGAACGGAAGCTACTAATCCCGAAAATAATGCGCAGTTAATCAATTAATAGTGAACAATGAAATATATGAGATAGGGATCCAAGATAAGGACAAGGGAAAATAAGTGTACTAGGAACAGGGAAGACCTAACCGAAGCTCCAAAAGAACAGTAGATCAAAGGTCGCCGGAGGAGCAAGCTTTTACGGAGCATGATGGAAGACATTATGCAGAAGCAAATCCTAGACCTGGTACCAATGTACGCCGCAAAATTATGAACTCGGTAGGATCATCTTTAATAAACACACAGAAAAACACGAACCAGGTTTCCTTTCGAGGCGCATTGGGAAGAAAATACGATATTTTTGTCATTGATCGATTATGAAAAGCTTTTAAGCGACACTGGGCTTTCGCTTCAGGCGTCCAGGTTGCTGGACTGCTCCTCTTCAATCCTCCCCTCGCAATTGGCGAAGGAAACTTACACCCCTTTATCGGCACAAAGTATACGAAGATCCCGAGATGGTTTTGAGGGCTTGATTCCAAAGGACTTAAGACACAGGAAAATCCTGTGAGGTTGTTGAAACTTTAAAATCCTCGCAAATGTTCATCAGAAGCCGTTACAAAGCAGAGACTTTAAACCTTTGAGGCTTAAAAATGTGTACGAAAATTGATTTTCAAATCAGAAAATTAAATTTGCACATCCCCGTTTTAAAATTGTTTCCCGTTGACCCTGTTGTACCAGGGAGACACAAAAACTTGAACGCTGTTTTGCACACGTTCAAGGTATCGCGTATCAGAATTCTAAAGCAAAGGCTCTAAAGCCTGTCCGGATGGACAGATGACGGACGGATAAAACTAAAACAATTGCACATATTTCACTTTACTATGCTTTATTTCCGTCGAGGATTTTTCCTAAAAATGGGATTGGGGAATTAAAAACGCGGAAATTAAAAAAAAATAATAGATTGGATGGTTTAAGAAGCATATTTTCATGCGATTGATTGGTAGTCAGTTATATTTATTTGAAATGATGTTCGATTAAACTACATATTGGTGACTAATGATAAGAAGGTCGAGCGGACGTTGATCTCTACCTGTTATCACTTCACCTAACAATTTGCCGTGCAGTGGTTGACGAAACTTTAAGTGGTGCGGTTTACGTAGCGTCGTTCCGATGGTAAATGGGGTAAGGTTGTTACCTTGTGGAGACAGAACTAATACGGTTAAGGGTGAGTTTTTATTTTTTTAATTCCGATGCCTTCGCGAAATTTGGTTTTTTGAATCCGCGTTCCGGGTCCTTAATATACTGATCGTAGCACCACTGTTAGTCATATCTCAGTGTTGTCTGAATTTTGATTTTTGTTGGGGTGACATAAAAACACAAAAAAGGTAATGAGAAATACTTGATTACCGGAAAAATGTTTAATAATTCTCATACACTTACAGCGATTTTCATAGTTTTTGATCATTTATTATAGTTCAACTATCACCATTTCACTCTGCGGATTTCTTATTCACAGAAGTGATCAAAAGTCATTTCTCTACAGCATTTAGGGATCATTACTCGAAAAAATACGATTAAAATACAATTGAAAATCGAGTTTGAAGGGCTCCCAGGGTATTCACGTGCCCCCGGGGCATTTTTATCCCTACTTGCCCACCGTATCGACGGTCCCTGATTTTGGGATTTCCTATCTGAAGATTTTGAGTTGTGTTGTTATTGGGGGAAAATGTTCGTTTTCCCTCTACAGTCTACTGCCGAATTTTTCAATGACATACCTAGGTACTTAGTATATCCTAGATGTGTAGCTAGGAGAACATGCTGTAGGTCTAAGAATAGGGCACTAAATTTTAAATTGATAATTATTTTGTATATTGTCGCTTTGTCCTGCGAACTACAGAGTGACAATTTGAAAACTTACCACCCCCCCATGTCTTAGTAAATAAACGAGATATTTTAAAAAATCAAAATCCGTTTCGGTAATTCAGAGGGGGAATCACAATGACATAGTTGGTGACGCACCCCCTCCAGCTCCCTGCGCCCCAGCCACCTCAACTTTTAAATCTTAAATAGTGACCCCCCATGTGTGATACGTCGTTGGAAAGCTCTGAAAAAATGCTTTCCAGCCATACCAAATAGCATTACATTTAGGTTAGTAATTATCGTGCAAATCAAAAAATAAACTAACATGATACATTTTCTAAAGTTGTATCATCAAGTACAGCGGTGGAAAGGACAACATTTACCAGCAGAAAAATTGGGTTGGAAAAAAGAAGGAGCAGTTTTAAATCCAATCCCAATGACCGCAGCTCCAGCACCACCTCAATTGCTAAAAATGTGAAACGTGGTTTTATTAGTCAAAATTTAACATTTGCTTTGAGCCATTTTGTTTTCAAAACAATCTAATTTCAGATTCTATTTCTGAAAGTTTGATAATACCAAGAAACCACTGATGTGTGAACATTTTCGAAATTTATCCAGATACATAACTTTTTCGCAAAAAATCGAGTTTTCCATTATAAATTTTTTTAATTAGTTTTAATGCATATTTACAATCTACTCGTGGGTATTAACATAAATAAAGAAAAAAAGGTATTAACATAAATAAAGAAAAACGTATAACAAAGTTAGTGGTGTGAGGGAGATCCATCCATTGATGTTACCACAGATATAGGTACTTACGTATATCTGTGATGTTACTCCCAAATAAAAGGATTAAACCTGGTTGGGCTGAGGTATGAGATTGTGATTGTGTTGCGATGTTGCGAATCTCTAAAGTGCAGTCTGTAAACGATGAGTAAGTCTGTTGTATATTGTTTTGTGATTCATATTTCTAGTTTTTTGCCATCTACTTCTTGATCTTCTTTGGGGTACTTCATCTGAATATAACGCAACTACGTTTTGGCTAAATAATTTAAAAAACAGTTCAACAAATTGGACGTGGGTAGAAGAAAATTCAATAACTTTAGATGATTTCATAAATACTTTGAAATTTAGTGCCAATTGGACTGCATCAGAAATAGACCATATCCAAAATTATTGGTTAAAAGAAGTTTAATACTACTCATTTACCTTTATTATTTTGGTTTAATAAGCACTTAATGACCCATCCATAATCCCAAAATTTTTATGCACTGGTATAACTTACATGCTTTTAAAAAATGGAGATACTTTAAACCCAAAAAATTACCGTCCAATTACTTGTTTACCGACAATTTATAAATTATTTAGCTCAATAATTAGACACAAAATTAATAACCATTGTAAAACGAATCAAATTTTAAGTATTAAACAAAAGGGCTGTACCAAAGGTACATTGGAATGTCGAGAACAATTAGCAATTGACACTATTGTTACAGCATTATGCAATAATAAAAGAAATTTAAATATGTGTTACATTGATTACAAAAGAGCATATCATTCGATTCCACATAACTGGCTCCTTGATATCCTAAAAATGTATAAAGTTAATTACCAATTTATTAATACTTTGACTTGTATGATGTCTAGTCTATGTGTCTAATTATTGTCAACGGAACCCGTCTTCTAAAAAAGTAACTGATATTAAACGTGGGATTTTTCAAGGCGATTCTTTTAGTCCATTATGGTTTTGCTTAGCACTAAATCCACTTTCTATGTTACTCAATGACTCCTCTGCTGGTTTCAATCTGAATTTTAAACAAACGTCTAATATTTGTACATGGACGACTTAAAATTATATTCTAGATCCGATAGTCAGTTAGGCAACTTAATAAAAACAACAACAAAATTTAGTGAAGATATCTGTATGGAGTTTGGAATTGACAAATGTGCTAAAATTAACATAATAAAAGGATCTCCGACTATAAATCCACAAATAGTCAATGAAATTCCGCAATTACTAGCTAACATCATTATAAATATTTAGGAATGAAACAAAATTTTGTTTTGGATCATTTGATCATATTGAAAAACTTAAACTTTTGTTAAAATCAAAACTAAATTCTAGAAATACAATAGGTAACTGCTATAAATATTTGGGCAGTTCCTACTTTGTCCTATTCCTTTGGAATTCTAAAGTGGTCTAGTACAGTTTTAAATAATTTAGATAGAATAACTAGAAGAATGTTTATAATATAATATAAATAAATATAATTATATACATCCTAAATCTTGTGCTGAAGGGCTTTGTATTAAAAGAAAAGATGGAGGACGTGGTTTAACAAATTTATATAATTTATGTAAAAATCATGTAAATCTTTTAGGAAATTACTTTTACCATTTAAATTATTCATTGATTAATAATATTATTCGTGTAGATTC